TTTACAGTGTTTTCAGATGGACAGTCCGTCTTGTCTGCAAAAACATTCTGCTGTGGTTCTAGCCTTTTAAATATATAGTACATATATAGTTCTATAAAACTAGTGGTCTGGCTTTGGTATTTAGTAACAGGTTAAATTAAAGTCTGTGGTATCAGCCAAAGTGAGCATTATGCAACTTCCACATCTGGGACATCTATTCAGTAACCAGAAGTGAATGCTGCAGTGCACTAAGACAGTGAAAAATTATTTTAAGCTATTTTTTTTCCCTTGTGTACAGATGAGGGCGGCATGGCATTTGACAAAATAAAAAATTGCTTCTGGCTTCAGTTAATAAAATAATTTACTAGATTCCCCTTGAAATGAGTTTTATGCCTTTTCTGTCTAATTTGATGTTTCCTCAAAAAAACCTCCAAGTGACAAAACATTACACCCACTGTTTCTTAAAAGAATTTGCCAAAAAAGAATAATTATGCGAGACTGCTATAACTCAAATTTGAACTGGAACTTACTGTGTAGGAATATGGATTTCTATTACACTGATAGGCTTAATTCCTCTTCAGGGGGCATGGACAAGAGCTGATCAGCAAACAGGATTTATGTTGCATGGGAATTCTAACAGTTTGACATTTGCTTGTCAAATCATTAAATATTTCCATAGGACTGTTACCAAAAAAAATCCCAACTTGCTTTGGAAATGTCACACAAAAATATCTACATTTTGTATCAAAATGTCAAAACAAAACATTGATTCAAGCTGCTATGTTTCAAAATGTCAATTTGGTATAGTTTTTATCAGTATTTTGGCTGTATCTGATGTGTAAATTCTATTTAGAATTTTTTTGAGAAAATTTCATTGAATTTTACTTATCCAGAGTAAAATAAAGGCTCAAAAAAAACCCTATGTTTTTCAACAACATTTTTTTTGCTAGAATTGTCTCACAGCTCTACAGACAATAGTACATGGAAAAATACTTTTTTATTAAAACTTCCTAAAAGGTAGTTTTTGCCATTTTTAAAAACTGCAAAGAGTGTTTGAAGATACTATTAGACAACAACATCCACAACCTCAAGTACAACAATAGAAAATAAAGAAAAAAGGAAAACACTCAGTTTACTGAATCTATGGCCAATAGCATGGAAAAAATCCTTCACTGCATGTGCAAATTCCACCCTCGTTACATTTGTAAATAAATCTCGGTAAAGAAAGACACTTCTTATTCATGGTATGAACAAGATATTTCAGTGACTACCTTACTCATCTTAGGAACAGTAAATCCCTGAGAGCTCACCTCAGTACAGACAATGCTAGGGAGAATGTTTTGGAATAGCCAAAAATAAGAACACTCAGTGGAGAAATCAGACTCAAAGTATATCCATATATCCATATCCATATCCTGAAAATCATGCTGCTAGTTCGACCACAGGCTGTCAGAAGCCTCCCTACACTGGGTTTTTCACCTTTTGATTTTTCATCTGATGCCTTGTCTCCTAGTATAATCACAGAATCCTAGTGTCATTAAGGTTGGAGAAGACCTCTAGGATTATCTAGTCCAACCATCAGCCCATCACCATTATGCCCGCTAGCCATGTCCCAGAGTGCCACATTTACTTTTTTCTTGAAAACCTCCAGGGAAGAAGACTCTACCACCTCCTTGGACAGCATCTTCCAATATCTTGTCACTCTTACTGAAAAGAAATTTTTCTTGATATCCAACCTGAACTTCCCTGGTGTGACTTAAAGCCATTACCTCCCATCTTACTTACATGGCTTATGTATCCTGGCTGCATCTGCCACATAGAACCTTGCTAATTGTGGGAATTACAAGGGATGTTATCTCAGTGATATGTTACTATCCAGTTGTTGTTTTTTGTTTGTTTGTTTTGTTTATTTGTTTGCTGTTTCTTCCCCCTTTGGATTTTCTTGGACCTTTCTCTTCTGGGACAATTTATACTCCTAATGCCCTAGGCCCAATCTTGAGCCCATGAAAACCTCCAGGAATTGAAAACCAGGAGCTGGCCATCTCATGCTCTATTAATCAACAACTTAGACCACATTTTCCTCTTCACCAGCTTTCACTCATAGCACTTCCAAAATTTCTGCACAATGCTAAGCAGTTTTACAGTAATAAAATACATCTCTTAACTAATCTATTATCCCTCTATGTCTGAGAATGTGAGCAAAATCAGAATGTAGAACTCAGTCACATTTTTCAGTTCAACTTGCAAATTTGCCAGTGAAGAAATTATTTTCTCCTGTAACATTCTGGTCAAAAAGCATCAATTGGCAAGTTATGCTCATTTACATACATTTTCTATTAAACTTTTCTATCATAAAAAATTGCCTTTATGATCTAGACACATAATTTATTATGCAATGCACCACCACTATCATCACACTGAATTGCATTTTACGTGTTTATACTAACAGGGAAGGTGATCAGCTTTAGCCTTCTTTTCATTATATGCATCATTCATCCTCCAGCACCAAGATCTCTGGATTCTGTGGCATATCCATCATTATCTAACTGTCAACTATTTTCAGAGGTTCCACTGCTTTAAGCTCATTATTTCTTCAGATTGGTGAATCTACAGAGAATCTTTCCATAACATACAGAATTCAGCATGGTACATATGTACAGATGAATGGTAGAGGTTTGTCCTTCGCAGGCTCTTTGTACCTAGTTTTTGCCCCAGAACTGCAGCATGTAATGAGCAGCAAATGCATACTCATAGTACTAAAAATAATAAAAAAGTTAAATGGCATTAAAAATAATAACCAAATAGCTGCACCTTTGTATGGATGAGATGTTGTGAATAATCCTAGCTTACACATTGTTCAGTAGTTTGGTGTTACTGTCTCTTTATTCTGCAGGCTGCATAGTCAAAGAGCCGCACTAAGATAAGGATTTTTTTTCTGTCTCTGTTTACCTTAGTACATTTAATTTAATCAATAGCTGAATGGGAAAGAGGAGGAGAATTGGATGGTTCAAGAGACTGATAATGTGCTATCGAACTTTTCATCTCTATATCATTGATTCAACATAGGAATTGACACACTGGATCAGAGCAGTGGTCCATCTTCTCAGGTATCTCTCTGACAGTGACCTGTACTTGATGTGCTTCGGGAAGAGGCATCAAAAACCCTGTAGTAAGCATTTATGAAATAACCTGTTCATAGGATAGTTTTTTTTTTCCTAAATCTCCTATTTACAGCTTGCCTGATGTTCACACCCAGGGCAATCAATAACTTTTCAAAAATCTTATAAATTCTACATTTTGTGACAGATGGTGCATTTACCTACATACACGTCCGTCTGCCTCTGCATGCAGTTGAAGTCTTGGCCACCAAATTGCAATGAGTTCCAGAGGAGAATTGTGAATGGCAAAAATGTCTAATTTCACTGTAGTCATTCTTAGCTTGTCATCTTTCTAAATAAATAACCTCTTCTGCAGTGTTTAACTTCTCTTTACTAACCATTATAACTAGCAGCACATAAGTCATCTTCTGACTCAACAAAATAATTTAAAACTTTCAATCTGCCTTGAAATGAAGGATTTTGATGCTTCTAATTATTTCCATTTAATCTCTGTGCTTCATCTGTTTCTGCTGCATTCTCTTTGGGACAGGATAACTAGAACTGAATGTAGTACACTACTCAGTCAGGGCATATCACTGATGTTCTTAATGACATTCTAAGATTTTTGCTATTGTTTCTCTTCCATTCCTTTTGCATCTTAAGTGTGCTTTCTTTTATCTCTGCACATAGTAGAGTGTTTCACAGAACCATCTAGTATATGGCATTCGTCTTATCTTGAGTGACAACAGCAATGTATTTGAGTAGCACAAATTATTCCTTATGTTAGATTTGTCAAAACTAAACCTTATCCTGATTATTCAACAGAATGTGATAAATTTACATGAAGTTTCTATACTGCTTTTTTTGATAGTGAATTTTCTGAAATATTTGAGTTTCCTTCAGTGCTGTTTTTCTTACAATTATAATATGCATTTTGCATAACTAATATACAGGAAAAAAGAAACCAATATCAAACCTTGCTATGAAGTAATCAAATCCACCCACATGCATATACAGATATTAACTTTCTGTAGGTTCACAATGTCTTTTCATAGTTTTCTATTATTTAAACAGCTCCTAACCCTTCTTGTGTTCTCCACCTGTGTCTATTTCATGGCAGCATTTTTCAAATATACATATATATATATATATGTTTCAGAAGTTCAGTTAAAATACACTGTTTGGTTAACATAACACATTCTGGGCTTTCTTTATGTCACTATGTCACTTTCTGTCACACTGTTAATGTCACTATTATATAACACTAAAATCACTGTTATGATTCCAGTGCTAATTTTAATTTAGCCATAATTAGTTGGCATTTCCAGGGACTTTCCTAAAGCCTTAAAAATCAGCCTCAGCCCTTGCTACTTGATTGACAATGGCAGCCTTTACTGGGACATTATGTATATCTAAGAGCATCTCAGCCACTTTTTTCTTAAATACCTTTCCCAATTTTGGATATCCTGTCCCTCAGAAAAAAAAAAGAAAAAAAAAAAAGAAAAGGCAAAAGCAGTTGTCTTTGCTAGCATAAGTGAAATAGCTAATGTTCTCAACTCCAATCTCAATTCAGAATACAAACTAAAAACTGAACTGGTGACCTTGTTAGTAGTCCTAGCAAAGACGTTATATACATGCAGTAAGAACAAAATGACTCTTTCACCGTGGTGAAGATTATTGTCTTTTGATACTAGAATTAAGTAGCTGGTTTTTTTGCTAAGCAAAACCTTTCAGCTTTTTTCTTCTGAGTTCATGCCTAAATGAGTGAGAAGAAGTGCTAAGTCCATCAGGATTTTAAATATTCTTAACAGGAACTACAATGGTGCGGCACTAAGTATACTAGCTAGGCTGCAAGTGATGGGTTCTTAATGCCATTCTAAGACCAGATAAAAATTATTTTTGTTTGTCTCTTTTGCAAAACAGAGTTCTCTAATCCAGCACCTACCAGGAATGTTCAGCTCTGGCTATATGAACCTGAAGACCACCTAGAAACAGAAGCTTCAGATGTGCACAAGTCTCCATCTTCATTCTCTTCTACAGATTTAGCTGAACTGAAGTGTTCAGAGTGAAACTGCCAGCTGGAAGAAAAAAGTCAGCTTAGTTACACTCAAGATTTGCATCACTTCAAAGACACTGAGGATCAAGGAGGCCCACACCCTGTGCCCAGCTGAGAGAGATGAAGAAACTAACAGTGTGGGATGCTTCTCAAGAGCACATCTCCCTCTCCCTGCACCCGCCCAGCATTCCCATTGCACATGGGCACCAGTCACAGCTTTGGGCACAAGAAATTCTGCTTTACTTCTCTGCCCACATCGCTCATAGGCATGTTCAGATAAGCTGAAGATCTACCCTATAGCAAGGGAAACGTACATTATTCTCAATGTTACTTATGCCATCAGTGTTTTCAGGTTAATTTGTAAAAAAATATGACCTGAAAGCCTAAGATTGAGTTTCAAATGAGACAGTTAATTCAAGGCTTGGTTTAATAAACCTAATTTATTATGTGAGATAACAGAGTTCTGCAATTGACTGCACAGCTGCATGGCTGAAGTTAGTAATTCCTGTGAATAATGCCGCTAAAAGTATTATGTAGTCAGTCTGCAGCAGTCAGATGTGGTGCCTCGACAGCAGCTATCTGCTGTTATTGCTAAAATGTGGAAAAAACAAGAGGATGAATCATCTCAGCTGTAAATAACTGAGTTGCAGGGGCACAGCTGGAGCATTACGGCTCCCTACTCTTGCACAGCCCTTCCTATAGCTGCTGCAGCGTGCCACTATTGAGGGCTAAAGATGAAGAAGTTTTGTAACTTGCTTCTGTCATGTTTGCAAAAAAGCATACTCTTATCTCTAGCATTTCTGAGTCTTTTTGGTGTCTATGTAGCACTTCTGGATACCACCCTCAGTAGATGAAAATGTACAATGTTGTAATAAAGGTATAAAGCACTGCAATTACAGCGAATATGCTGGCAATGTCAGAACCAAGGCCAGGTAAATGAGTTTACCCAGAGGGTACTTCTAGGAGTGCAGGAAAATGCTTAATTCCGATAGAATAATTAGAAGACTGAAAGGAGGAAAAAGAAAAAAGAAAAAAAGAGTTACTTGAGTGAATAGAAGTGAGGTTTTCTCATGTACAAGGGCTTAAATGACACTGTAATTTTTCTCCTGAGAAGTTGCAAAGCTGGCCAAGCACAATTCTGAATGATTTGCCTACAACGCATAAGGTATAAGATACCGCTTTTAAGTCAGATGCACCAGTAATCCTTTCTCCTATAGTAGTTTCCCCATCTCCTGTTTTACATCTCACACTACTGTGATTATACAGATTATAATCCATTTAGAAGTGTATTTAAAAAGCAGCATCAAAAACATTTTGAAATACAATCTGGTATTGCAGTCAACAGTCAGAAGGTGGGACAAGTGCAACAATTTTGTGGAAAATGCATGTGAGCTTTGCTCTTATTTCTACTTCAGCTACTCATTTCTACAACATTGCTACTCACAGGTATAAAAATCTGGGAGGGTGAAAGTTGTTAGAATCTGAAATTAAACAAAAATTAAGAGAATGCATGATATCTGCATCTTCAGTTGCATCTTCATTACAATCGTAAGCAAGAACACGCCTGTCAGACTCACAGCGAGGGCTGTCTGTAGCGTGCGTTACCTGGAGGAAAGCATCCATGCAGCGCAGGCCGTTTGATGAGAAACTCAGCAGCACACAGGACCTGCTGCTCAGAGCCTGCTGGTACGCTCGCCCCACAGCACCACCGCGGCAGATGGGGACAGCAGCCAGGGCAGCGATGCTGTGGGGAAGGTGGCTTCTTCGTAACACTTCCACTTCAAGCAACTTCATGTCAGCAGTCAAAGTTACTGGTTCATGGAGTAGTGGCCTCCTGAAAATTGCTGCAGGACTGACATAGCTGTTAGTTTATCTGGCTAGCTTTAATAAATGGATGTGATACTATAAGGCTTGCTAAGGGACGCTGGCTCTCTATGCACAGCAGAATGGTTGGGTTAGTGGATTTTCATACTGATTTTCCATTGCTTCAGTGAGATAAAAATGAACCTGGAAAAATGTAGGAGACATAACCACCTTTTTCTTTTTTTCCTGCGTTTGTTAATATCATGATGTGCTAATGCACTTCATAACAAACGCTAATATTCAAACTACAGAAAAAAATCATAGTATTTCTATTTCATTCATAGTTGGATATGAAAAAATGAATGAGCATTCCCCAGTCTGAGCTGCACAGAAGAAAAAGACTTTTCAGTACATTCTTTGACAGTAAACCTTCATCTTACCCTTCCAGGTGGGAAAGTATTTTTGGTTTTTTTTTTCATGTTTTTAATCATACTGCAGACCTCTCAGCTGACAGCCACTCCTTTATTCATGAGCCTTTGTATGGCTTAAGGATGATACAACCTCTTAATAACCTTAATCAGGTTATTTTTTATTGTGTTTTAATTCATTATAATCCCAGTAAGTCTGTGGAAACCTGTGGAATTAAAATTTGTTTCTTTAATGGCTTATCTTTAAAACATTAGGTACAAAAGGCATTAAATTATTATTTGTCAAGAAAGAAACACATACATTGGTAAGAAAAAACTTTACAATGATAGATCTCAAGGTTTTATTTAAAGGGAACAGAACAAAATCCATAAGGGGTTGCCCTTTCCCCTTAGTTTGAACTCACAAGGTAATGCTAATTTGTCACTAACTCTTCAAGTTACTACTTTATAGCTACTCCAACAACATCTTTTGGCAACATCTAAGATGTCCTGCTGCGTACAATTAATCAGTATGTTGCTTTGCAAGTGAGTTGTGATACAGAACCCAGTATGTACATCACGGTATTGGTGTTGGGTATTCGACTGCTGGTCAGTGAGACTGCAGTGTAAGCGCAGTGGTCAGTTCTCCCCTATAGTTTGAGTCTAATGTAAGAGTCCAAAAAAACCAAAAACAAACAAAAAAACCCAACAACAACAACAAAAAACAACAACAAAGCAAAACCAAATTGTGAAAGAAGAATCTCTAAAAAAAAAGAAAAAATCCCCCAAATTAAGATTTCTTCTTTTTTTAAATTTTAAATATCTAAAGATCGAGCATTACTGTGAGTTGAGTTTCACTTGGTTGAAGAAAAAAATAAATAAATGGTAAAACATATGTGGACTACATTTGTTTCTTGAAGGGAGGAAGGTATGCTCAAAGCACTGTTGTACTGTCATCATCAAACAATGGGAATCTTTGGTTCCAAGCACAGCTTCTGGTACAAAGATGAGGCAAGCTGATATTTATAATTAAAATAGCATATATGTAGCCAGTTACTGAGCTCCTTGCTGGCACCTCACACCAATCATGATTATCAGTCAGAACCCAAGACCCAGATCAGAATATAAAAGAGACTTTGTTTGAGGGAGAGATTACGTGTTTATGTGTGATAATGTGTTGCTGGCTTTTCTCACTTTTTAAGTTATGGCTCATCAGGTAGCATTAAGATGATAGATTCAGGAATATGTTTATGATTGACCACATACAAGAACATCTATCACCTATACTGAATATAATATTATGTGTTAGTTCTGGATTTGTTTTATTGTATAATTAGCAAATCTTTGTAGAGGATGTTTCTCTGCGATGTAACGAACTACTATTCTACAAATTCAAACTAGCAGTTCTGTTTGTGTGTTGGCACTGGAGCCACACAAGTGCTCTAAGAACACCAACTGAGAAGACAAGACTTAAAGAAATTCACTGCACTGATTTTTTACATTCCTGACAGCACTTACCAATCCCATGTGATTCAGACATAGTTTTTACTTTCAACAGCTCTCCCAATTAAGCCCAAAATTCAGAAAGCACCACTTCAAGAGACAAAGGACCAAGACAAGCAAGAAGAAAGTAAAAGAAAGAAGCAAGGAGTAGAAGGAAGGCAAGAAGATTTTATAGCTAGGTTCTACACACTTAGAGAAAAAAAAAAAAAAAAAGTACACTTAATACTCTGCTTCTGCCACTTTCCTCTGAAGTATTCACTACTATCGGAGACAGGAAATTGAGCCAGATGAGGCTTAATCTAATATCGTTACTCCTGTAATCCTATTTCCATGGAGATCTGTTATTTCACTGAAGGCAGCAGAACTAACAGATTCTGTTATTTGATAATTGTGGATCTGTTTTTAAGGATCTAACTGCAATAAATTGTCTACTTGCCCTTCCTTAGATAGCAGGCCAAATTCTGCCCACAGGTCTTTGGAGTCAATGTGAGACATACATGTGCTGTTAGGACAGACCTGGACACTGGTGGCCACATTCCCTACAAGTCGGCCTGTACTGTGCATTTCTGTTTTTCCTGTAGGAAAGGAATCTTAATTTATAAGCTCACGACAGTCTGTGTTTGAAACAATGTGCTCTTAAACCAGTAATTCTAGTGTTTGTTTTCTGAATTTAAACTATTTCCAAAGAGGTGATATAGGATATAGACCAACCGAAAGTATAGAGTTAAAAAAAGAAAAGGGGAGAAGAGAGAGAGAAAAGAAAAAGGAGGAAAAAAAAGGAGAAAAAAAAATTAAAAAAGTAAAAGAGGAAAGAAAAGAGGAGAGAAGAGAGGAGAAAAAAGAAAAGGAAAAAAAAGTGGAAAAAAAGAGAAAAAAAGGGAAAAAAGAAAGAAAAACAGAAAAGTGGTATGGGCGTTTACTTGTAAAGCAGAAGAAAATAATGCTGTAAACAATAAAATACAAGTTTATATGATCAGTTTCCCTATAATCTGTAGTCCTCAGGTTTCCAAACACAGGGTTTTGCTATTTCTGCCTGGTTGCAAACACTTCAGCTGCCACTCCTGACAAAGCACCATCACAGCCATGTAGAAGCATGGTGAAGATCCACAGGCAGGTGCGCAGCACAGCTTCTCCAGAGAAGGCAGAGTGCCTGCATCCCTCTGCTTTGGGTCTCAGCTCTGCGGATATAACTGTCATTTGCTCGTGTGCTCTTACGAGCTATGGGGCAGTTAAAAAAAAAAAACACTGAATATGGTTAAACATGTATTATTAACTTGTTGTTAAGCAATAACAGCTAATGGGAGAATTTCCTAGCAGTTAATGATTGACCAGAAGAGATGACTGGGGACCTTAAAACAGTCAGCCATTAAATGTGGAGCAATACCCTTGCTTTTACCCACCGTAGCTACTTGCATTTCCCCCAACCCCCCCCTCACCCCCCATTTACAGCTTCAGATTTCTGCACTCCATTAATATGAATTTCAGTTTCTTTACTTAGCTATGTACTTATTCCCAGCCTTAGTAGCTGGCACATCAAATCTTCATTCACAATAATCTAAGAGATATCCAATAAATTGTGCTTGGATTGCTGATTAAATTAAGATTATTATGAAGTATTAAAATGAAGATTTTATCCACATTTTAGTGGTCACAGATGAAAAAACTACAAATATCAGTGTAATCCATTTATTAGTTCATGGAAAAGTCCTATAGGGAGTGTTACAATTCCCTATGCTATCCCTGAGTGCATTTTGCATTAGAACCTCTGATTTAGCTGAAAGATGTAAAAAAAAAAAAAAAAAAAAAAAAAAAAAAAACGCACACGGCCAGATCCCTCCTGGCTACACATCTGAGAAGGCTCAGGAGCATAAGGTCGACACACAGCAACTCTCGCTCACAAAATGAGCCCAGAATTACCTGTTTCAGATGTTAATATGCAAAAATTTTCCAGGTCTGAAGCTTTTGACCAAATCACACCACTTTTGTGGTCTGTTTTCCCTCTCTGTTCTTCCTCCTCCCTCTTTTCCTCCCATTACCTGCCAGGCACACAAAAACTGTGGAAGCTAACAGGCAGCAAACTACAAACAGGCAGCAAACTATTTCATGGAAGCCTGTTTTAAGTAAAGTAGTTGTTTATCTTATTCAAGGAGTCTCATAATAGATCCAAAGTTTTCCTGTCTGAACAAAAAATTTTGCAATAAAAAAGGAAAAGAAGAAGTAAAGTTATTGAAATCTCAAAACAAAATGTTTAGTCCCTTCCAGATGGAAGCAATTTGTAGAGCAGAAAAAGCCTAAGACTAGGGAGGAGGATGGGATTATTTTAGCACATTTTAGAATTCTTGCAGTGTGAGTTGACTCAGATTTTGCCCAAAGCTATATAATGTTATTGGGATACTTATTGACTAAGATTAATTTAAAAGTAGATTTTTCTGATCATAATCACATGAAGGAACTCTTTTGGGTAACTGTATGTGCAGCTTGAGCAACCTGATGGTGCAGCTTTCACTCACAGGGATAGCCAGCACTCTCCTGCTCGTGAGCCTCTGCAGTCAAATGCCCATCACATTCGTAACTTCACTTTGCCTGCTTTTGTTTTGAGACTGAATATCTCTGTTTCAGTCATGTCTTTAAGGCACAGGAAGAGTCAGGCCTTCCTTGTGGTGGGTGCTTTTCAGAGAGATTGCTCCCTGCTGCCTCAGTGAAAAGAGTTTATGTGTGGGATGAGTGGGTCCACCTCCTACTCACGGCCTCTGTCCTTCCGCTGGCCTCCAGATCTGCCGCTCCTTCTTTCCTATTCTGTTCTTGACCTCTTCTCACAATTGCCCATCTCTCTGTGGATGGTCTCTCTGCTGTTCTCTCTTTCACCTAATATGGGTTTTGATTTGCCACGGGGAAAAAAAAAAAAAAAAGACCCAAAGAAATAACGTTGGCTTTTAGCTCTACATTTATGCTTCCTGAACAGAAACTCTGCCTGCATGAAAATCAAATAGGGAAGAGAATAAAACATGGTGATTTTGAGACCAGATTTTCCCTGATTCCCAGAGAAGCCCAGAAGTCAGAAAGTCACTGTCAGCTCCCTGTTTCTGTGTTTCAGCCTTATTTTCAGCACAGGTGAGAGCTTTATGCCACCACTCTTGGCTCTTATTCTGTCTTTCCTGGAGTGGGAAGCATGTGGGAATGCATGACAGAGCTTCAGCTCCTGCAATCCTGAGGTGGTGAATACCATTACAAATTAGAGCAGCCCTGAAAGTGCTCCAGCTTCTGCCTAAGGACAGCCCCAAACCTCCTTACAATCTGCGCAGGCTGATCTCAGCAAGGTTCTGCAAGACCCCAGGTTTTCTCTCGGGAGGCTCACAGGGTGTTATAAGAGGGCAGAGCTCGGCTCGGCGCGGCTAAGTAGTGTCAAAGGGAGACCATCCGATGATAAACACAACGTGAGCTGAAGTCAGAGGCAGCAGCAGACTCTGCCTCTCAAACCACGACAATGTTCCTGTTTGGCTACAACTACATGATCTCATTTACAGAACTGCAAACTAACAATACACTATGAAAATGCAAAGCATTGTGCTAACCGGGAGTTTGGCAGTGTCCTCCTTTGGTACATTTGTCTCATAATTAGAAGATAGTTTTTTTGCCTGTGAATAATAAATACTTTGAGCTCGAATTAATTCAAATATTTATTTATCCCCCATCTCACTTGGTAAAATAATAGAGATATTCTAGGCCATCTCCTATTGCCCATTAATGTTGTGTATATAAATAAGCCAGGTTATCTTTTCCTTGTGAGAAATGTTTTATCTTGCAGTCTCTTGTCTAGTGGTTCAGTACTCCACCACTCTAAATTAGGATACTTTATCTTAAGGCTTCATAATCTTACGAGACTATAATTGGAAAGTTTATAAAAAAAAAATCCTGCTTTGTAAGCTTGGCAGCTGAGATAGAAAGAGGGAATGAGAAGGGCTACAGCAGAATTACACCATCACTGCTAGCCTGACTCCGCTTGACAGAGCCGTTTAATATTTTGACAAGACAAAATATAAAGCAGCATTTTATTCTGTAGAGACTTCACTAGACACAAGCATGGAAGTGCTTGTGATCAATAAAGTTTGCGGTGGAGAGTGATTTATTTACAGCAGGGTATTATGTAGAGAAAGAGCTGTGATATTTCCACAGGCTTTGACGGCATAATGGGCCCCTCTCAATCCTTACATGGAAGGGTTAGATTGTCATGGTTGCTCAGGCAGTATTCA